GGTATGTGCAATATTAAGTAATAAAGGTCGAAAATAACGTGTGTATGAAAATTCAATAGCCTATTTAAAAAAATAAAGCTATGAAACGTTATCTTCTGTAAAATTTTCATTTTGGTGTATATACCTGTCTGATTTGATGCTCTTGATATTTAAACCTTACATTATATTATATTTTTTTATTATTTTTGCACTATAAATTCTGGGATAAGTTACTAGTATATTTCTCATCACGTAAAACGGATTTGTAATAAATTCTATACTATATCTATAGACTAAGGATAATCCACGATGACGACAGGTTTCTATGAAATTGAATAAATAATGTTGTAAATAAGCTTAAAATATCCTGTTTCAATATAATACTAAAATAGCAAATATGAAAATAATAAATTGTATAGTTGTCCTACACAAATAAAAATAAAGAAATATAAATAAAAGTTATGTGACAAAATTTAATGATGTTTAACATTAAGATGTTGATTTTTTTATTGTACTTGTATTTGATTAATTTTAATGAGCATTGAGATTTAATTATAAACATGAATAGAATAAATTTGCCAGTATTTTGTTTCGCCGTTTAATTAAATACCTTTTAACAGTTTATATAGTAAAAACAAAATAAAGACAGAAAAAAATGGGTTTTAATCAAGTCAATAAAGAATTCAGTGTCAGCAAAAAATATACAGCAAAAAAATATTAAATTACAAATATAATTTAATCAAACTATGTTGTGTCTATATAAATATATTAATTTAATTAATTAAAATCAATAATTGAATGTATTTAAAATAAAATAAAATAAAAATGGTGTAAATGATGGTAACTTTTGGTGAAACATGACGGCCATACTACAATTACTTTGAAGAAAAAGATTTTAAGGTTTCGTGATTTTGCGTTAGACGGACTACTTTAATTAAATATTAATAATATTAAGTTTATTTATTTATGTTAATTTACAAGGCACGAGCGAGCTGGCGAACGAGTGTTTAATTAAATGAGTGTCTAGAAAAGTTTATAAACCAGTTGGTTCCAAAAAATACTTTATATTTATATAGAGCGCCATCTATAAAACAATAGCGTAACCATTCTAACTTGGGAATCTGCACAGGCTCTGTATTACCGGCGCGTCGGTCAAAATGTCAAATTTGTTTGTGTAAATCGAAATGTATCCCTTGAAAATAGACTAACCACCGTTTAAATCCGATTTAGAAGCAGTTTTTCACAGTGAAAGTGAAGATAATGCTTTATGGGCACTCCACTTCAGCCCGTGACTAAAAACTTGTTGTCAACTTCAGCCCGTGACTAAAACGCCCTAAAGCCACAACTTGTGTATTTAAAAGGTGACTTAGTGTCATGGAAACATGTACGATAACGGGCGTTTTAAAGGTGGGAAAATAGTTTTTTCATCCAAACAATTTAACAAAACGATTTTTTTAAACCTGTTAGGCAAAGGGAATAAACTTACTATTTTTATACTAATTTGCTTAATTATTCAGTACTGTTTTGTATTGAAATTTGGATTATTTATTGTTGTTTGTAATGATATTTTTCTTTTTGACCATTATTGTTTATTTTATTGTGTCTTTTTAATGCTTTGTTTTAAATAGTTATACGAACAGTAAATGTACATTTAGTGTTTAATAATAATAATAATAATAATAATATTTATTTCACCATTAACTTATATACAATATAATATTTAATAATAAAACAAAAGGTAAAATAAATATACAATGGCCCCGTAAGTTTAAAAACTTGTCTGGGGTTTAGGTGGATAATACTTTAACTAAATAGTTCTAATGTACAAACATTCTAAATAGTTCTTGAACCAAAATCAATCGATTAATATAGTAAGTTTTGATGCATTGTTCACTATGATTAAACTTTATTGACTCGATATACTCGACATACTGAAATTATTGAATATTGAATTACTGAAGCAAAAGCACAGACTCACGTTATCTCTTTACTGTATCAATTATACATACGTATAACGATTCCCCATTATTTAATACAGAAACACATATAGTCAAGTAGGGTAATAGAACAATTATATTATGTTATGATATAAAAAGAAAAATGTTATTCGCCCCTGCATACATGCAACATTGTTCCCAAGTTTTTGAAATACCATATCGCTTTGGTTCTGAAATCGATATAATTACATATTGCCTCGAAATTGCTTGAGTACTTAAACCTTAATTAGTGCGATTACGCATATTGAGTAAACGCACTCTCTAAATATTCATCACAATAGCAATTTCTACACTAAAGTTAGATTGGAATAGAATGGACAAGGGGACTTAATCTGCTTTTGACAGTGGGTAGTTTAAAAGCAATTTATAATGATATACGATATGGGATATATCCACTTGGTAAGCTAAAAACAAATAATAATTTTATTTTTAGAACGCTTTAATTTTTTATACGAGTACCTAATTAAAGGCATTATTTTATAATGAAATATGAACCTAAAAGTAGCTGTAAGGAGTCAGTTTTTCATGAGCTTAATAAATAATTATATCAGTTAATTATCGCGACATCCCTTGGGGTTTTTTTTATTAAGGAAAGGACCGAGTTTAGTAATTAAACCTTTTTACTTTAATGTTTTTTCTTACACCTCCCGGAAGTACTTCTAACGAACAAGTTTATACCGGATGAGTTTTTTAGTGCTACAAGAGGTTATTTCGAAAACGGTAAAGTAATCGTGAGGTGGAGAGACCTATTTAAATATATTTTTGACATCCACCCCCTATCCCTATTTTAAGAGGCGGGGGGTAACTTTGTATTCTTAATAGGGATGATGTACTTTTTAAAAAATATCAAATATATGTAAACTACTAGGTATGTTTGCAAAAAAAGTTGTTTTGCGCTTTCGCTTATGGAATTGGGAATTTTTAAATTATAAATAATAAAAAATAATTTTATTTTATTTATCAAGGGTACGAAAAAAAGTGAGAAAGTGTTCAGAAGTTAAAGGAGGAAATTTAAAAAAATGTCTAAGACAAGACAGAAGATACATTAATTAAAATTTAATTGTTAAAATTAAGTATCTTACAATATAATAAATCATAATTCAGTAACCAAAAGCGCAAATCAAAATATTTGCACACATACCTTAACCTTTTTTCCGTAGTTTCGAATTTTAAAAAAGTTTAAATATGTTCCCCCCTCCCTACGCGTTTACCAGAAGTTTACACAAAAAATTTCTAAATATCACTTTGTAACACTTTAAAAAACTAGCTTAATCCCTGTGCATTCGCCATTTTTAAACAAACGTGATATTTTAGGCAAAACTTTAATTTATTACTTAATAATTTTGTATTAGGGTGTTTCACATTCGTGGTCCATTAGAAGTTTCTGGGAAACGAAAAAAGATCGATTTAAAATTTTAAAAGCGTTTGTAATGCATTTAAGTCTATTTTTCTAAAATATTTATACATAATGCCATTTCCGGTTTAACCGAAAGTAGCATTAACTTTGTTATTTCAAATACAACACACCAGATATTTACATTTTTAAATTATGTATAAAATTCTGATTAAAATTATAATACCATCTCCTATACCTAAAGTAAATACTTTTTCATATTATTAATTTTTTTCGTTAAATTTTGAGAAATACAATATTGTACAAATGCTTGAATGTAAATGGAGAACCCTTTAAACATTTAATAATAAATTAGTAATAAAAACTGTTAATTAAAATGACTTCCTACTTCCTACAGTTAAGTTTTTTTCAAAACCAGCAAATCGGAATTGTTTGTGTAACTTTTAAATTTTTAAAATGTTTGGCTTGTCAATATTTTTTATAAGTCACCGACTGCTATTTTTTATTAGTAATATTGTTTACAAAACACTTAATTTGTCAACAAATTGTTTATAATAATCTGAAAAATTTTGAAAAATGACAGATTACGTGGTAACCATATATACCGTCAACTCAACCGTCACAGGTTTAGAAAGTTTTAAATATCTCTGAAATTAATAACTTTAGGTATAGGGAATAGTAACATAATTAGAAAAGTTTTGTTTTACTATTTAATTATGTAAAAAAATACTGGGTGTTACGTTATTAACCTTTCAAGTTAGCCTTATTTTACCTGGATTTTCTCAGGTAATTTGTTAAAGAATTGACAAGGAATTTTTTAGACAGTTTAGTTTAAAAGTTTAAAGATTCCAAAAATTCAACCCCCATATTCCCAAACCTAATAATTTTTACGAAAAAAATTAATAACTCACTATTCATTATAGGTATAGAATATATGGTAATTTTACTTAGAATTGTATGTAGAATTTAAAAATATAAAAATATATTGGGTGTTGAAATAACAAAGTTGATGTAACTAAAGTGTCATTTTTCACAGATAATTCTAATTAATTATTCCCCAATTTTGCTGTCATTTAATCCACAATGAATATTATAAAATATTTAAAATATTATAAAATATTAATAACTCGCTAATTAATAGACATGCAATAATATTATATTTTGTAGAAAATTTTACGCTTTACACAAAAGGTATTTTACGATTTTTTTGTAAAACCATCCATTTAAATAAAATCGGAGGAGTAAGTCTAAAATATACAAAATAATTAAAAATAAAAGTTTAAATATATGACTAAACGATTTTGATAAACTATGACTTTATGGCATTTTAGTCACGGGCTAAAGTTAGCTTAATTATAAATTGGGAAAAAGTGAGGTTAAATCCGTTGACAGATGTCAAATATATAACAAATATTTAAATTCTTCTTTTTGTTCCTCGTACATAAAGTATAGTATGCAACTCGTTTTATAAACTTCTCTAGACCCTCGTTTTAATTAAACACTCGCTCGCAATCTTCGCTAGTGCCTAGTAAAATGTTTAACTAAAATGGCGTTTAAAACTTGATACATAATATACTATTATTAGCTTTAAGGTTGTCTGAACATCAAATCTTGCAATTGATTTTTTTTATTAAAAGAAAAATAATAATAAATCATTTTATCTTTTTTACCTTACAGGTGGCCATTCTGAATCCGTTGTTGAAGTCGGAGCAGATGTGCTTTGTGTTGGAAGACTTAACCTGGGCATAATCTTTAACGTCATTGGACGCCTTCTTCGTATAGAATACTCTAAAAATAAATAACACGTTTAATAGTTATTATGCCATATTATTGCCTTCACGATAAAATATAAAAATTTAAGTTTATTTTATCTGTAATAAAAATTATACATTTATTTCATATTTTGTAATTTTACTAATAAATAAATATTAATAAGTAAATCAAAAACTGTGTTTTTGTCTTTATGCCTGCGCATAAAGTGAAGTTTATGCCCGGACCGGCATAAAGTACACTATTATGTAGTTGGTAATTAGGCAATAAAAGCACAATAATAAACTATACCTTTGAAAGAAGTTATTATAAAGTTTTTAAGGTTTAAATTTAAAATTTTTCAAAAAAAAGTACAATTCGAATACTCTCTATTATAGCTTTCTATTAATATTTCGACAAACTTTTTAGAAAATTTCTTGTAGAGAATTATCCTGCAAACACTTATTTACGCGCTCTAACTTCGATTTCTGCAAGCAGCAGGACGACGCTGCAGGATCCTGCTTTAAACCCACCTGTTGCCGATGTGAGGGAGTTTCTAGGAGCCAGCAGATGCGGCGTAAATAGTTCACTGGAGTTGCCGCCAGATGTCGGCACGCTGTCCTCCCGTGTCACTTTGAATTTTATCGAAGTCATGGTCATAGTTGTTATCTAAAAAAAGGTAAAAAAGCTTTTCTAACTATTCGCATATTAGATCGAAATAAGTTTAAATTAAAAGCAACTGTATAAAATTAATAAACACACTCTACATTGACAGCTATTTTACTGACTTACACAGGTACCCACCTAAATGTCTGTGATTGGTGATCAACAAGACAAGATAAAAGATGATCATCTCTAACGTCAAGGACCTTTGATGCACCTTACCTAACTACAGCCAATCACATTTCAGAAATTTGTGTTGGCAGGACTACTTTCAAATACTACTTCAACTCCTACTTTAAAATATATATATAAATATACTGTATATATGTATATTAGGCTGGTTCAAAAAAATTTTTTTCCCTAAAATTTCGCCCTGAAATATGTACACGGTACCAAAAGACACCTGTGAAAACCGTAGCTCTTAATTTTAATATTTAGAGGTCGAGCATCGAGAATTTCTATTTCCCATTTAAATAACATGGGAAATTTTGTTTTATTTCTTTATAATTTTCTAGCTCACAAACTAATTAACAGATTTTTATTCTAGTGGAAAATTGAACGCTCTACAAAAAATGTCTCCTATCATTTTTCGATAAGCCAACGAGTTCAAAATTTATTCAAAGTCTAAGTTAAATTTATGTCATAATTGCATTTTTTACTTTAATTTTAGGCAAATTCATTACTTAGTTATTATCAAATATAAAAAAAATCATTCAAAAAATCAAAATTACTATGTTCAATAAGCCTTTTAAATTTATTCCACTGAAACACCTACTATTTTTGGAAAGAATTGGTTAAAATTCTTTTTTATTGATTAAAATCCTTTTTAATGAATTATTTCCAGAAATAGTAGGTATTTCAGTGGAATTAATTTAAAAGGCTTATTGATCATAGTAATTTTGATTTTTTAAATGATTTTTTTTGGCACCGTAAAAAAAATTCAGAGCGAAATTTAAAAAAAAAAGTTGATTTTTTTTAAACCAGACTAATATATATATATATATATATATATATATGGATTATTTCATATCTTAAAGCGATAGTTCTATGGGAAAATACAATGGGGCATTTTTTTTAATGAATGTGATGGGACTGTTTTAAGATTTGTACATAAATAATTATTTACAACTTTGTTAACTCATCTATAGTAAGATGAAGAAATTCTATATTTGTTTAAATTATTTCTCTTAGGCTCCATTATCACACAAACTCACAACCTATAGACATATAAAGCTGTCTTTAGACTTTTAGACTATTTTTTCTATGCAGGTTACAATAAAAACTGTAAAACCATCACTCTTTTAACGAATTTATTATTCAACTTTAATTTATTAGCGAGTTAAAATATATTTGGTATAATATAACTTGTTGGTTGAAAAAATATATCCAAATTAACCAAAGCTGTGGTTAATTTACCAAAAAGTTATATCAAAAGTTAAATTAAACCAAACTGTCTAAAAAAATAACTAGTCTTAACCATTTTCAAAGGTTAAAATTAAAAGTTTATTTAAGGTTATGTAACTTTTAAAATAACCTACTTTTTAACTAGTAATATTACTAACTAGTTAAATATTGGGTTTATTAATATTCTTAGAATAACCTTAATTTAATAATAGTAGTAGTAATAGGTTTCTTTTTTTAGTTAAATTATACTAAAAATTATCCTTTGAATTTACCTTAGGTTATAGAATCCGGTTGGTAAATTTAAAGAGTATTTTTTTAGGTCATAGTAACCTTAAAAAAATATTAATGTTTAAATACAACTAATTGGTTAAAAAACAAGTTTAAAAAAACGTTATTTTATTCATAATTATGGATATCAACAAAGAATTTGTAATTTGTGTCTGTAAGTGTATCATACAATATTTATTTTAAATTATTCAGTCAGCATTGGATGATAGTCATGCGTAACGTGTGTTACATAATATGTGGTCAAGAGTAATTCCCCCTTTATTTAGTCTTCTTGTTCGTAACTAAAGTCAAAGGCTACCTGATTGAGGTTAAACCAATGAAATTCCTTAATATTGAAGTTTAGTGTTTCAAATTTATTTAGACTTTTAAAATACAGCGTTGCCATGTGTGACCAACTAGATTAAAACATTTTCTATTTCGATTTTTTTAGTGTCGATAAAAGTACATATATAAAAAAGGTATTGCATAATTTATTTTTATTAAAGAGAATCTTAAAAATATATCAATTTTTGTTAATAGAACATAGGCGAAGAAATTTAATTAAATGATAGGGCGCAAACACTATGTTGGTCAAACAAATAAACCGCGTAATTTTCCTTTGTCAGACATTTCTAAACAACGCAGAGAATCTCTTTAATTTTAACACAAAAACAAATTAATTGAAATTCAAACACAATCAATGCATACTTTACATTAACAATATAATATAAGTAGGTTTAGTCGATGTTTGGGTAAATATTTGGAAATACCACTTTTAGCAACCTAAATTCCATACACAATTGTAGACATGTAGATATGTAGACAATTGGAGACTTCAAGAGTCGTGTCACACGACTCGTGTGATTATTGCTGTAAAGTCTTGCAGACTCAAAAAAAGCAATACAAAGTTTCCATTTGGGATTTACTTATTCTGACAAAAAGTGAAAAGTGAAAACATTTTATTTATTATTAATTTTTACTTTGATGCCGTGAAAAATTTTAACATTTCATTGTTAAAAATGTATTTTAATTATATTTTACCCACAGTTGAAAGTTTTATGACATCCTTTTATTTCCTTTACTCATGTGGAAAATTCCATTATTCTCGCATCAACGAAAACCATATATTTCATATTTTTTGTTTGATTGTTCAAAGGAAAAAACTAAATTCCAATGATATTACAATTTTATGAATATTAAATATATTTAGTTTTATTTAAAATTTTGTAAAATATTACACGCCAAGAAACGTAATTAAATATCTTCTAAAATAATAATAATAATAACGAAATATGTACAAGCTAAAAAAGAAATGAACGTTAAGTAAATAAGGATTAAATAAAAAAGTTAATTTAAAAAAGGGAACAAAATGGAGAAACAAAAGATCTTTTTTAGGCTTGTTAAGTTAATTTCAAATTTATTTAAATCCAGCCGTTTATAAGATTTATTGAGAATGATAAATTAAAGAGCTCTTCAACGAAATTAGTATTTTTTATTTGTTACTTTGCTGTGTTACAATTAAAGGATTTTATTTTTTTTGCTTTTCCAACGGCTATATTATTAAAACAATTCTATAACATACCTATGTGTATTAGTCCCTTGGTGAATATTCGTATAAATACATTAAAGTTAAAGCTAATCAAAAAACATAATTTAATTATAAAAAAAATAAAATAATAAAATTAAATTAAAAAGAACACATTTAAAATAAAATTGTATTAAGTAAACATAAGCATCATCTTAATTTAAAAAATTGTAGAACGAAAACTAAACGGCATATTTCAAAGAAAATATCTCAAGATTTAATGGAATTTGCTGATAAATCCATACGTAATCTGCTTACTATGATAAAAATAGAAACGAAGGACTATCGGAATGTCCAAGTTACATTTTTCACACTCAGTAAGACATATCTTTAAAAAGATCTGTAGTGTATTTATTTTATACCTATCTTCCTTCTTTTTTAATAAAATTCTGTTATTTAATGGACATTTTTTTTATTTAAACTTCAATAATATTAAAGCAATTTATATTAACCACTTCTAACAAAGCCTTTAATTAATTCAAGACAAGTTTACATAAATACATAGTTAAATTAAGTTAAGTTAAATTAAAATTAGTGTTTCCGGTAATTGAAACTACCCTTACATACACATCCGCACACTAGTTCAAAATTAAAAATTAAAAAAAAAACTGGTTTGAAATACAATAATTACACTGAATCAATAACTGGGGATTCAAGGGTCGCGTTGGTTTTTTATAAAATTGGAAGGGATTAATTCTTAAAGACCGTTGGTCAAAATTAAAGTAACTTACCCCCGCAAGGGTAATAGAAAATTGACTGGTTCAAAGGTCATAAAATCTAATACCAACCTAAAAGGACGAAGGGTTATTGGCTTCTTGGCCCTTGACTTAATTCGAAAACTTCGCTATTTGAAAGGCCTGAAACAAACTTAGCGGGGATTTTACTAAGCATTTGCCATTAATACCAACTTCAAGATATACTATAATTCACTAAATTCGATAATTATTGATACCTCCAAAAACATGTCTTAAACGTAACAAGGGTTGCCTGATGATTGAATCCACTATTTTTCCATCTGGTTGTTAAACCGTATTAACTCAGTTTGATTTAATTGCGTTTACTTCATTTAACCCATGCTTATGAGTTTTATCAATCTAAACTTATTTTACATTAGCTGATCGAGACTTATCTCGTAGTAGCAGCGCTTTCATATTTACAGAACAATACAATATTACACAGTAAAAAATATGGATCGAGTAAAGTAGCTAGTGTAGTTGGTAAATATTTTAGAGTTGATATTCAGTGTAAAATGCACCAATTATTTAACTCTATAGCTTAATATTACTCTACATAACTCTATTTTACATTATTTTACAGTGTAATAATAACGTAACTCTAAAAATATTATATTTTTTACTCGAATGTCTAATACAATCGCATTAGTGTTAATTTAGACTTTGTAAAAGGTAAAACATTTACACTATAAATTAGTATTTTACAACCGCTATTTGCGTTAAAATTTCCCTAGTTTTCCTCTTGCTAGTGTATTATTGTTTTGGATTAGAGTAAAGTAAACAGTAAGCGAGTATATTTATACACTAAAAAGAGTTAAATCTACACTATTAGGGTTATTATTTGTGGTGGGGATTGCAAAGCGTCTATAAATTTGTAAACTAGTTTAGTGCTGTTTCCAAGGGCTGTTTAATGGTTCGCTTGTGCGTGGGTGCCGCTGCATAATACGTATAAAATAGGTACATTATTTCTTATTATTTATATTAAAGATATTTTATTGTAAAAACTT